CGAATAGCTCAGTCGGTAGAGCGTTAGGCTTTTAACCTAACGGTCCAGGGTTCGAGTCCCTGTTCGGGCGGAATTATTCATTTTTAATTGTTAGTAAATTTTTCGGTTTGCATTTTTATGAACGACAATAAATTAAAAAAATCGAGAGAACATTGTGGCCTCACGCAGGTTCCGAGCCCGAATAGCTCAGTCGGTAGAGCGTTAGGCTTTTAACCTAACGGTCCAGGGTTCGAGTCCCTGTTCGGGCGGGTTTATTCAATTTTAATTGTTAGTAAATTTTTTCGGTTTGCATTTTTATGAACGACAATAAATTAAAAAAATCGAGAGAACATTGTGGCCTCGTACAGGTTCCGAGCCCGAATAGCTCAGTCGGTAGAGCGTTAGGCTTTTTTTAACCTAACGGTCCAGGGTTCGAGTCCCTGTTCGGGCGGAATTATTCCATTTTAATTGTTAGTAAATTTTTCGGTTTGCATTTTTATGAACGACAATAAATTAAAAAAATCGAGAGAACATTGTGGCCTCGTACAGGTTCCGAGCCCGAATAGCTCAGTCGGTAGAGCGTTAGGCTTTTAACCTAACGGTCCAGGGTTCGAGTCCCTGTTCGGGCGGAATATTCATTTTAATTGTTAGTAAATTTTTCGGTTTGCATTTTTATGAACGACAATAAATTAAAAAAATCGAGAGAACATTGTGGCCTCACGCAGGTTCCGAGCCCGAATAGCTCAGTCGGTAGAGCGTTAGGCTTTTAACCTAACGGTCCAGGGTTCGAGTCCCTGTTCGGGCGGCATTATTCAATTTTAATTGTTAGTAAATTTTTCGGTTTGCATTTTTATGAACGACAATAAATTAAAAAAATCGAGAGAACATTGTGGCCTCACGCAGGTTCCGAGCCGAATAGCTCAGTCGGTAGAGCGTTAGGCTTTTAACCTAACGGTCCAGGGTTCGAGTCCCTGTTCGGGCGGCATTATTCAATTTTAATTGTTAGTAAATTTTTCGGTTTGCATTTTTATGAACGACAATAAATTAAAAAAAATCGAGAAACATTTGTGGCCTCGTACAGAGGTTCCGAGCCCGAATAGCTCAGTCGGTAGAGCGTTAGGCTTTTAACCTAACGGTCCAGGGTTCGAGTCCCTGTTCGGGCGGGTTTATTCAATTTTAATTGTTAGTAAATTTTTTGGTTTGCATTTTTATGAACGACAATAAATTAAAAAAATCGAGAGAACATTGTGGCATCGGGCAGATTCCGAGCCCGAATAGCTCAGTCGGTAGAGCGTTAGGCTTTTAACCTAACGGTCCAGGGTTCGAGTCCCTGTTCGGGCGGAATTATTCATTTTAATTGTTAGTAAATTTTTCGGTTTGCATTTTTATGAACGACAATAAATTAAAAAAATCGAGAGAACATTGTGGCCTCGTACAGGTTCCGAGCCCGAATAGCTCAGTCGGTAGAGCGTTAGGCTTTTAACCTAACGGTCCAGGGTTCGAGTCCCTGTTCGGGCGGGTTTATTCAATTTTAATTGTTAGTAAATTTTTTTCGTTTGCATTTTTATGAACAACAATAAATTAAAAAAATCGAGAGAACATTGTGGCATCGGGCAGATTCCGAGCCCGAATAGCTCAGTCGGTAGAGCGTTAGGCTTTTAACCTAACGGTCCAGGGTTCGAGTCCCTGTTCGGGCGGAATCATTCCATTTTAATTGTTAGTAAATTTTTCGGTTTGCATTTTTATGAACGACAATAAATTAAAAAAATCGAGAGAACATTGTGGCCTCGTACAGGTTCCGAGCCCGAATAGCTCAGTCGGTAGAGCGTTAGGTTTTAAACCTAACGGTCCAGGGTTCGAGTCCCTGTTCGGGCGGCATTATTCATTTTTAATTGTTAGTAAATTTTTCGGTTTGCATTTTATGAACGACAATAAATTAAAAAAAGTCGAGAGAACATTGTGGCCTCACGCAGGTTCCGAGCCCGAATAGCTCAGTCGGTAGAGCGTTAGGCTTTTAACCTAACGGTCCAGGGTTCGAGTCCCTGTTCGGGCGGCATTATTCAATTTTAATTGTTAGTAAATTTTTCGGTTTGCATTTTTATGAACGACAATAAATTAAAAAAATCGAGAGAACATTGTGGCCTCACGGGCAGACTCCGAGCCCGAATAGCTCAGTCGGTAGAGCGTTAGGCTTTTAACCTAACGGTCCAGGGTTCGAGTCCCTGTTCGGGCGGGTTTATTCAATTTTAATTGTTAGTAAATTTTTTTTCGGTTTGCATTTTTATGAACGACAATAAATTAAAAAAATCGAGAGAACATTGTGGCATCGGGCAGATTCCGAGCCCGAATAGCTCAGTCGGTAGAGCGTTAGGCTTTTAACCTAACGGTCCAGGGTTCGAGTCCCTGTTCGGGCGGAATTATTCAATTTTAATTTTAATTGTTAATTTAAATTTTTCGGTTTGCATTTTTATGAACGACAATAAATTAAAAAAATCGAGAGAACATTGTGGCCTCGTACAGATTCCGAGCCCGAATAGCTCAGTCGGTAGAGCGTTAGGCTTTTAACCTAACGGTCCAGGGTTCGAGTCCCTGTTCGGGCGGAATATTCATTTTAATTGTTAGTAAATTTTTCGGTTTGCATTTTTATGAACGACAATAAATTAAAAAAAATCGAGAGAACATTGTGGCCTCGTACAGGTTCCGAGCCCGAATAGCTCAGTCGGTAGAGCGTTAGGCTTTTAACCTAACGGTCCAGGGTTCGAGTCCCTGTTCGGGCGGCATTTATTCATTTTAATTGTTAGTAAATTTTTCGGTTTGCATTTTTATGAACGACAATAAATTAAAAAAATCGAGAGAACATTGTGGCCTCGTACAGTTCCGAGCCCGAATAGCTCAGTCGGTAGAGCGTTAGGCTTTTAACCTACGGTCCAGGGTTCGAGTCCCTGTTCGGGCGGGTTTATTCAATTTTAATTGTTAGTAAATTTTTCGGTTTGCATTTTTATGAACGACAATAAATTAAAAAAAAATCGAGAGAACATTGTGGCATCGGGCAGAGGTTCCGAGCCCGAATAGCTCAGTCGGTAGAGCGTTAGGCTTTTAACCTAACGGTCCAGGGTTCGAGTCCCTGTTCGGGCGGGTTTATTCAATTTTAATTGTTAGTAAATTTTTCGGTTTGCATTTTTATGAACAACAATAAATTAAAAAAATCGAGAGAACATTGTGGCCTCGTACAGGTTCCGAGCCCGAATAGCTCAGTCGGTAGAGCGTTAGGCTTTTAACCTAACGGTCCAGGGTTCGAGTCCCTGTTCGGGCGGCATTATTCAATTTTAATTGTTAGTAAATTTTTCGGTTTGCATTTTTATGAACGACAATAAATTAAAAAAATCGAGAGAACATTGTGGCATCGGGCAGGTTCCGAGCCCGAATAGCTCAGTCGGTAGAGCGTTAGGCTTTTAACCTAACGGTCCAGGGTTCGAGTCCCTGTTCGGGCGGCATTATTCATTTTAATTGTTAGTAAATTTTTCGGTTTGCATTTTTATGAACGACAATAAATTAAAAAAATCGAGAGAACATTGTGGCCTCGGGTTCCGAGCCCGAATAGCTCAGTCGGTAGAGCGTTAGGCTTTTAACCTAACGGTCCAGGGTTCGAGTCCCTGTTCGGGCGGCATTATTCCATTTTAATTGTTAGTAAATTTTTCGGTTTGCATTTTTATGAACGACAATAAATTAAAAAAATCGAGAGAACATTGTGGCCTCGTACAGGTTCCGAGCCCGAATAGCTCAGTCGGTAGAGCGTTAGGCTTTTAACCTAACGGTCCAGGGTTCGAGTCCCTGTTCGGGCGGCATTATTCATTTTAATTGTTAGTAAATTTTTCGGTTTGCATTTTTATGAACGACAATAAATTAAAAAAATCGAAAGAACATTGTGGCCTCATACATTGCAGGTTCCGAGCCCGAATAGCTCAGTCGGTAGAGCGTTAGGCTTTTAACCTAACGGTCCAGGGTTCGAGTCCCTGTTCGGGCGGGTTTATTCAATTTTAATTGTTAGTAAATTTTTTTTTGCATTTTTATGAACAACAATAAATTAAAAAAATCGAGAGAACATTGTGGCATCGGGCAGATTCCGAGCCCGAATAGCTCAGTCGGTAGAGCGTTAGGCTTTTAACCTAACGGTCCAGGGTTCGAGTCCCTGTTCGGGCGGAATTATTCATTTTAATTGTTAGTAAATTTTTCGGTTTGCATTTTTATGAACGACAATAAATTAAAAAAATCGAGAGAACATTGTGGCCTCGTACAGGTTCCGAGCCCGAATAGCTCAGTCGGTAGAGCGTTAGGCTTTTAACCTAACGGTCCAGGGTTCGAGTCCCTGTTCGGGCGGGTTTATTCAATTTTAATTGTTAGTAAATTTTTTTTTGCATTTTTATGAACGACAATAAATTAAAAAAATCGAGAGAACATTGTGGCCTCATTCAGAGCTCGTTCCGAGCCCGAATAGCTCAGTCGGTAGAGCGTTAGGCTTTTAACCTAACGGTCCAGGGTTCGAGTCCCTGTTCGGGCGGGTTTATTCAATTTTAATTGTTAGTAAATTTTTCGGTTTGCATTTTTATGAACGACAATAAATTAAAAAAATCGAGAGAACATTGTGGCCTCGTACACAGTTCCGAGCCCGAATAGCTCAGTCGGTAGAGCGTTAGGCTTTTAACCTAACGGTCCAGGGTTCGAGTCCCTGTTCGGGCGGGTTTATTCAATTTTAATTGTTAGTAAATTTTTTGGTTTGCATTTTTATGAACAACAATAAATTAAAAAAATCGAGAGAACATTGTGGCCTCGGGCAGATTCCGAGCCCGAATAGCTCAGTCGGTAGAGCGTTAGGCTTTTAACCTAACGGTCCAGGGTTCGAGTCCCTGTTCGGGCGGCATCATTCCATTTTAATTGTCGGTAAACTTTTCGGTTTGCATTTTTATGAACGACAATAAATTAAAAAAATCGAGGAGAACATTGTGGCCTCGTACACGTTCCGAGCCCGAATAGCTCAGTCGAAAGAGCTTTAGGTTTTAAACCTATCGGTCCGGTGTTCGAGTCCCTGTTCGGGCGAAATAATTTCATTTTAATTGTTAGTGAATTTTTCGAGTTTGCATTTTTATGAAAGACAAAAAATTAAAAAAGTCGACAGAATATTGTGGGCTCACGCAGGTTCCGAGCCCGAATAGCTCAGTCGGTAGAGCGTTAGGCTTTTAACCTAACGGTCCAGGGTTCGAGTCCCTGTTCGGGCGGCATTATTCAATTTTAATTGTTAGTAAATTTTTCGGTTTGCATTTTTATGAACGACAATAAATTAAAAAAATCGAGAGAACATTGTGGCCTCACGCAGGTTCCGAGCCCGAATAGCTCAGTCGGTAGAGCGTTAGGTTTAACCTAACGGTCCAGGGTTCGAGTCCCTGTTCGGGCGGGTTTATTCAATTTTAATTGTTAGTAAATTTTTCGGTTTGCATTTTTATGAACGACAATAAATTAAAAAAAGTCGAGAGAACATTGTGGCCTCGTGCAGGTTCCGAGCCCGAATAGCTCAGTCGGTAGAGCGTTAGGCTTTTAACCTAACGGTCCAGGGTTCGAGTCCCTGTTCGGGCGGGTTTATTCAATTTTAATTGTTAGTAAATTTTTCGGTTTGCATTTTTATGAACAACAATAAATTAAAAAAATCGAGAGAACATTGTGGCATCGGGCAGATTCCGAGCCCGAAATAGCTCAGTCGGTAGAGCGTTAGGCTTTTAACCTAACGGTCCAGGGTTCGAGTCCCTGTTCGGGCGGCATTATTCAATTTTAATTGTTAGTAAATTTTTCGGTTTGCATTTTTATGAACGACAATAAATTAAAAAAATCGAAAGAACATTGTGGCATCGGGCAGACTTCAGCCCGAATAGCTCAGTCGGTAGAGCGTTAGGCTTTTAACCTAACGGTCCAGGGTTCGAGTCCCTGTTCGGGCGGAATTATTCATTTTAATTGTTAGTAAATTTTCGGTTTGCATTTTTATGAACGACAATAAATTAAAAAAAGCTCGAGAGAACATTGTGGCCTCGTCAGGTTCCGAGCCCGAATAGCTAGCTCAGTCGGTAGAGCGTTAGGCTTTTAACCTAACGGTCCAGGGTTCGAGTCCCTGTTCGGGCGGAATCATACACTGCATTGATTCTTCGTGACTTTTCCCCAAAGATTAAAACCCATATCGTTCCACAACCACCGTATTCCCACCGTGCGACTTCTGGCTATTCCCTGAATTCGAAAGACCACTCGGGGACACCTTTGGAGTCCATTAAAGAGATTGAACATGAATAGTCGCTCACTTTGAAGGCCATCCCTGTCGATGACCTTTTAGCATGCGTTGAGGATTGGAAAAAGTTGGCATAAGTGCATTGTGTCCGGAGGGGAGTACTTTGAAGGCGATGAAATAAATTTGGAAGAATTAATAAAGAATTTTGAAAAAAAATTATTAAAAAATGATTTTTTGGAAATGAGCTTTGTCGGTTGAGGTTGATGGTCGACCAGAGGGTCTTCGTCTTCATTCACTTGTGAACATTTCTTTCCGATATAGGAATGCACACCGAATGCCTTCTGCAACATTCTATACGCTTCCGCAAATAAAATTTGATGCAAGTTCTTTGCTCAATGAATTCAGACACTTCAAAAATCGCCGGAATCAGTTTTAGCGTCTCACAAAGCCAAGCGTAACTCAAACCCTTAATGATTATTATGACGTGATATTTCCCACAGATGTCAAGGACAGTGCCAACAAAAGAAAAAAAAAAATTTAAAAAAAAAAAAAAAAAATTGAAATTCCATAAAGCTCGGGAATTTTAAATTGAAAATGGATTTTACTTTTTGGGCACAGTAGTACAACCAGATAATAATGTCGCACACTGCAAGGCGTCAAACACTCAGAAGGTTAATTAGGCGTCTGATTATAGACGGCATGAAATGTTATCCGCCAAGAATCCAGACAGACAACAAACATATATCTTACTTATTATACATATACAGTAGATAAAAAGTATTTGCAATTGCCTATAAATGATCATATTTGCTAACAAAGTGGATATAAAAAAAAAACAGTGGATAAAAAAAAAGTATTCGCAATTGCCTATAAATGATCATATTTGCTAACAAAGTAAGTTTACAAATTTTATTTTAACATAGCGATTACAGAAGGAGAAAAGACAAAAACAAATATAACGAAATTTTCATTTAAATATTTTTTTAGTCAAAATCTACGAGCAAATCCAAAATTTACATGATAAAAAAAGTATTGGCAAAATTATGAAATTGACAAAATTATAAGCGAAAACAAAATCAGTATATGTTCAGTACTTTGTATGCATACTTTCTGCATCTATAACAGCTTGTAATCTATTTCTCATAGAGGAAACTAAGGTCTTTGTTGTACTGTTGGGAATTTTGTGCCACTCTTGCAAGAGTAAACGTTTGAGATCTTCTTTGCTTGAAATTTTATGTTTCTTGATTTCTAGATCCAGCAGGTGCCTTAAATTTTCAATTGGATTGATGTCAGGCGATTGAGGTGGGGTTTTTAATTGGCGAGGAGCATTGTAGAGTAGCCATTCACGGGTGATATTCGCTGTATGCTTGGGGTCATTGTCTTGTTGAAAAACGAATGATATTCCCAAGCCAAGATTTTGGGGCACTGATTTTTTAAGTTATGGCGCAAAATGTCAATTTATGTACGTGCTGTCATAATACCATCAATAAAATGCAGGTTACCAATTACATTAGCTGCCATACAGCCCCCAAACTAAGACGCTGCCTCCACCATGCTTTTACAGTAACAGTTAAATGTTGCTTTTCCATTTCAGTATTTGGCCTTCTCCACATATCGTCGTCCATCACTGCCGAAAGTGTTAAACTTTGATTCGTCGGAAAAAAATAACTGTGTTCCAAAACTCTTCAGATAAATCAACGTAGGATTTTGCGAAATTTAACCTCTTTCTCCTATTTATTTCCGAGACGAATGGTTTCTTTCTAGCTGCCCTTCCATAATAACTTCTCTCGTTTAAAACATTCCGTACAGTCTGTACGCTGAAAGTCTTTTTGCGAAGTGAAAGCAACATCTCTAGCTATCTGGGGTGCACTTATTTTAGGTTTTTCTTAACCTTGTTAATAATGACACGTTCTTCTCTTGTAGAAAATATTCGAGGTCGTCCACTTCTAGTCTTATTTTCCGTTGATCCTGTTTCCTTGAACTTTTTTACAACACTTCTGACAGTAAATAAACTTATATTGAACTGCACTCCTATAGCACGATAAGTTAAACCTTCATTTCTGAGCCTAATAATCGTGTTTTTAACACTAACGTCCAACTCCTTCGATTTCGAAGTCATTTTACTGCAGTAATCGCAAAAATAATGCATAGACACTTTTGGAGTAGTTTTGCAGACTTTATACCGGTAGAGTTTCTTATCAGTCGAAACACGTGACTTCAATGTAGCAAAATTTGCATAGCAGTTAAAAAACTTTGCCAGTACTTTTTGACATGAAAATTTTCGTTTTTGAAAGAAAAAATCGTAGGAAATGCAAATTAAAATAAAATTTTTACTATTTTTATATATCTAAGATGTCTTGTATTTAATTACGACAGCTAAAATTGCATAACATTTTATTTATTTGTCAATATGAATAAATTAAGGCAATTGCCAATACTTTTTTACTCACTGTAGATCGAATATATATATATATAAATATATATCATATACTGTAAAACATTATATATGCATATGAAGTAATATTTGAATAGATGTTTCCAAGTTTCTAGTAAATCAGTGATACTATTTACAGTTTTGTCAATTACGGCTTCAACAGTGCAGCTTTTAAGCACAAAACCGAATCTCCCAAACGATCTGGAGAGCGGACGATTTGTTTTCCTTGTAGGGAGCTAATTGCGTGTAAACAATGAGAAGTTTCCGTCCCCGTGTCCACTGCTTTCTTGGCAGGCTCTCAAGTGGAGGCTTCAAAATTAAGAGCCACTCGCATCGATTTTTGAGGGATTTTCTCCTACTACCTTCCACTGCCTCGCCTAATAGCGGCTTGTGGCCTGGAAAAAAAAAAAAAGTGTTAGGCCGAATTTTTTTATGCTTATTTTTATGTTGAGGTTTGCTGTGAGCATAAAATACGCACTGCTTTAAGTTAGTTAAATTGCTGAGAGAAAAATTTGGCATTAAGGAAAACGATGTTTAATGAAAATAGTTTTCCCCCCTATTTGTAATTTTTTTTTTTTCTTTTATTATTATACTATAAGCAGAAAATTATAACATAACATAGATGGATCGATTAAAATTAATCCTTCTTAAGGCGTGTTTGGTTTGTCGCTCTACGGTCATCTTATGCACACGAGGGATAAACAGGCCGGGACCTACAGTTTAATGTGGAATTCGAACCACTACAAACATCCATGTCGCCGCCAGGATTCGAACCTGAAACATATGGCACCGAGCGCCAGACACTCGGACCCCTAAACCGGAACTATAGAGCTTTGGGCGGAGGGCTGACAAACCTACTCTATAGAAAGAAAAAGAAAAAAGAAAACATCTCATTCTTCGGAATCTGCCAGTAGACAGACGACCATGGACTGTAGTGGAGTCAAGTAAACGCCAATTGTAATATACAACTATTTATTTTTACTCACATACATATTATACAGATAAAATATCAATATAAAATTTGATTCCCATAAAACTCAATATCAACGCACTGTTCTAAAAATGTTCTGTTGCGATATACAGTAAAAAGTAATCTTAACAGAATGAAAATGCAAATGAATTCAGAAAAACCCTGAACTTTGCTCGGGGCAATTACTCTGGCATGCAGAGTGTGAACTAAAAAATCTGGATTTGATAAATCAAACTGATGTTTGTAAAACATGTGGTAAGATTTAGGATTCGGAGCTCAGAGCCACTGAAATGATTGTAATAAATCCCTTACAAGCACAAAAACAAGCTTAAAAAAAAAAAAAAAAAAAAAAACCTCACAATTTGTAACTCAACTCAAATTGGAAGTTGAATAAACTGGAATGCAGTATGAGTATTGTAGATTGA